CCAAGAGGACTTCTAATTATTATCTAATAAGATATTACAAGTTCATAAAACAAACAATTATAAATATCTTCATATAGGATTAATACAAATTGCAGTTAAACTTTTAACTCGTCTAGGACTTAATAATTCCATCTTAGTATGCCTACGTGATACTAGACATAATAGATTTTCCGACTCATTACTCGGAATGGTTGAATCTAATTTATGTAGCGGACCTATTTATTTTAATTGTTTTCTTAATTATTCTGTATCACTCACAGACCCCAATATTTTAAATGTTTTGTCACTAAACTTGAAAACTCAGGGATTTGATATGATGCTAGGCTCTCAAAATATAGCCATAATATATCGTATTTATTACAAAGTAATGAATACGCTATGTCCCAATGTACTTCAAGTAGATACACGAGGACAAACTATATTTTTCCAAACTAATATAAAAAAATCTAATACTACCATACCAAAAACAATATCTTGGTCAGATATTATCTTACCAAAATCATGGTCCATTCATAATGAGAACCAACCATCTCAAACATCGATACAAAACATTCTAGATAAAATCATAGAACATACAGATGGAAATATTGAAATCCAATTTACCAACAATAGAACTACTATCCCTACGGATACAGTAGATTCTATATCTCTTTCTCATTGTTCTCCCCAAATTGGACCTTTAAGACAATCTGTTACTACATATAATCATAATCCACATCCAACAATCCCTCTATCTGCGCATAGTACTCCAAGTAGTACTCCACGACGATTACAAATTGATGGAGTAAGAAGAACATCAGATAATATTATTATTCCACAATATAAACAGGCTCAACAAGAACCTGAAGAATCTGACTTCCTTCAAGTCTTACAAATCGAGGAAGAATTTGATAACCTATATGTAACATATGACTATCCATCTGTTGAAAATACATATATAAGAGAATGGTATTTTGATAACTTTGAACCAAAATTAATATCTTTATTCTATAAAAAATATAACAAATTCCGTAAACAAGGAAACAAGAGTAAGTGCTTTTTCACATGGTTAAAAGACATCTTACACCAATACTCTATTCCTATACCAGAATTTCATCTTCAAACACTTGAATCCCAATATACTGTATTCAATCCAACAGAAGGAAAATCGATTACTTCTATCCATCCTCCTGAGAAAAGTCTTAAAATCAAAGGAGCACCATCCAATACTGATAATAAGGAAGATGAATCAACCTCTCAAAATCAGATGGTGAAACTGTAGCTACTCCGTATAAATTAAACAATGCCAATATGTCCCTAATGGAATTACTTCCCCATATAATTGAACAAAACAATTATACAAACCTTTATCTTCAAACCCTTGGGAAACAAACAGTTCGAATCGAGAATCTATTAACTCCTAGTCTTACAAGACAAAATGAACCTAAGAAAATTCTCTTTAAACCTTCTCCTGAAATAAATAAAGACAAATTCTTTATAGGAGACGACAATAAAACTCTTATGGATCAGTTAATATCAAAATTAGCACATTTAGAAATCAAAGAGCTCAAAAGAACAATTATTGAAAAAAGCTCTGAAGCTAGTTCCGAAGACAGAGGAAAGACAAAAATTCCTGTCCATGATAATATGGCTCTGCAAGAAGAAAACCCTGAACCCCAAATTAAAAATACTCTTCAAATATGCAAAAGGCATTCACAGAACATAGTATTTCTTCAAATAGTATTTATCGAATCAATTATAGCAAAAATTGGACAGCAAAGAATGAACATAACCAAGATATTTTATACAATGAAAGTGATGCTGTTAACACTTTGATATATACCATTGCCCTACATTTTATAGGCAATACTGCTATATTAGCAGCAAGATCTGCTGATCTTTTATCCAACCTTATATGTCCTACATTATCTCATTATGAATGGTATAAAGATGTTTTCTTTTCTCGTTTACTTATACGAGAAGATAGCCATTTAGATCATTGGAAAGAAAAATTTGGAGCCGGCTTACCCTATCTATTCGCTAAAAAAGTAAAAAAACGTTTAAAAGGTAAGCATGGTGGAACAATCAATTATTCTTAATATACTTTAGGAGAATTATCAGCGGAAATCTGTGCTGAAGGATTGACCTTATGCATAGACATGAAATTAAAGAAACAAATTGATAAACAAAATATAAGTGGCAAAAGAGAATTAGGAGATTTCTGCGAATAGTTTGGTTATCATATCGATAAAATTAAACCTCATGATTTACATAAATTCCATAAACGGAGAAAACATAAATATAAGGATAAACCAAAACAGGATAAACCCCAGAACTTATCCAAACGAAAACATAAATTTACAAAAAGATTTGCCTTTAATAAATCATCTCAAAAAAAAGATAAAAAACTTCCTGTCTGTTATAAGTGTGGAAAAGTTGGTCATTACAAAAGCCAATATAAAGTCAAAAAGAAAATTGCAGCCGTAATATTAGATGAACAAATTAGAAATAAAATATATGATATCATCCAAATATACGATTCTCCATCTTATTCAGATTCAAATACAACTTCTTCCAGTAGTAATACATCTTTTCTTGGTAACATTCATGATGAAGACCTGTATTGGTCAAATACAACAAGTAGTTCAGAAAATGATGAAGACTTATGTAAATGTCGTTCCTCCACTACTAAGTGTCCTATTTCGAATATTCACACATTAACAAAAGAAGATAATCTTATATTAGATTTAATAGAGAAAATTTCTGATCCTGATGAAAAACGAGAAGTAATTACTCAGTTTATCAATCTTGCAAAGACAAAATCAAAACCCATTCTTTTAATCAAACCACTGGATGAATATAATTTTTCTGATATCATGAAACGCATAAGTCAGCATGAAGCGTATAAAAAAGAACCAACTATTGATGACCTCAAACAAGAAGTAAATACTGTAAAAGCAGAAGTTGCACACTTAAAAAATAGAATACAAATTTTAGAACTCCAAAATGAAACCCCAGAAATAGATACTGATACAGATTCTATTGAATTTGATCACCTCATCCGAACATCTCATCCAAAACATAGAGAAACATCAACGAGTAAATCTGTAAATGTTTTGAATAAAGTTATTACACAAAAATGGTTTATCTTAGTTACAATAGTTATAAGTAATGAATATGAATTTCAAACTTTAGCATTAGTCGATTCAGGGGCAGATCTCAACTGCCTAAATGAAGGGTTAGTCCCTACAAAATATTTTGATAAAACAACCCAAATCTTGAACACTGCTGATGGAAGCAAACTGTTTATCAAATATAGACTGTCAAATGCTAAAATATGCAATGAAGGCCATTGCTTCCCAACTACTTTCATAATGGTCAAAGGACTCAGCCAAGCGGTAATCCTTGGAGTACATTTTCTCACCCTTTTATATCCAATGAAAATTACTCAATCAGGAATTAAAACAAATATTCATGACACTTGCATTAAATTCGATTTTCTTGATAAACCCAAAATTAAAGAAATCAATACAGTTAAAAATCATATCAAACAGAAAGAGGATTTTTTATGATCATTACAACTTGAAATCAAACACAAGGTCGTTACTGAAAAACTCCAAACTGAAGATACTATTGAACAAGAAATATGGCATGAATTACCAACTGCTTTCTGGAACAGAAAATAACATATTGTTGGTTTACCGTATGAACCCGATTTTAATGAATCAAAAATCCCAACAAAAGCTCGCCTTATTCAAATGAATATGGAATTACTCCAAACATGTCATACGGAAATAAAAGATCTCCTTCAAAAGAACCTTATTCGTCCAAGCCTATCTCCATGGAGCTGCTCTGCTTTTTATGTCAATAAAAATGCTGAGCAAGAATGAGGAGTTCCATGATTAGTCATCAACTATAAACCTCTCAATAAGGTCTTACAATGGATTCGATATCCTATTCCTAATAAAAAAGATTTATTAGATCGATTAGTACATGCTGTCATCTTCTCCAAATTTGATTTAAAATCAGGATTTTGGCAGATTCAGATCAAAGAAGAAGACAAATATAAAACTGCGTTTAATATTCCCTTTGGACAATATGAATGGAATGTAATGCCGTTTGGTCTTAAAAATGCTCCATCTGAATTCTAGAAAATTATAAATGATGTCTTCAATCCTTTTTATAAATTTATGATTATTTATATAGATTATGTCTTAGTTTATTCTGATTCTTTAAATCAACATTTCAAACATCTTCATACTTTTATTAATACTATCAAACATGCTGGTTTAGTTGTTTCCGCAAAAAAATTAAATTTGTTCCAAACTAAAATCAGATTTCTTAGACATAATATTAATCAAAGAACAATTATCCTTATTGATAGATCAATTTTATTTGCTGATAAATTCCCTGATAAAATTTTAGATAAAACTGAATTACAACGATTTTTAGGATGTCTGAATTATATTAGTAATTTCTATCAAAATCTTGCTATAAAAGCCAAATCTTTATATGATAGGTTAAAAAAGAATCTTCCATTATGGACTAATGTCCATACTTTGGCTGTACAACGTCTTAAATTTAAAGCCAAAGAACTACCTTGTTTAACATTACTTAATCCTATTGCTTTTAAAGTCATTGAATTCGATGCTTCAGAATTAGGTTTAGATCGCAAACTCAAACAAAAAGATAATTCCATTGAACAATTGATTCGCTTTACTTTAAGAGCATAGAATCCTATACAAAAGAATTACTCTACTGTCAAAAAGGAATTACTTGCCATAATACATTGTGTTACGAAATTACAAAGTGATGTTTTAAATCAACACTTCTTCATACGCATTGATTGTAAGGCTGCTAAGGACATTTTGTAAAAAGATATTCAAAATCTTGTTTCCAAACAAATATTTGCCTGTTGACAAGCTATTTTATCTGCTTTCAATTTTTCTATAGAACATCTTCACGGCTCTTATTATATATATATATATATATAAACCTTTAATAAATCATAAACCCTTACTCCTCAACGTACCTACATGGCTTCCCTTCGTTTCAACTCTCTGAAGGCTGCCCTCAACGACAAGGTCAGTCCATTACACTACACGAATTCAAGTAAATCGAAGCGCACACTCCAATACTTCTCCCTTTTTTGGTGTTCTCAATTCGTTCCATTTCTGAAATGCGTTTTGATTTAAGCTGACCTTTTTTCGTTTTATTTTCCTTCTGGTTTTTCAGTTTTGTTCTTTGGTTTCCATTGATTTCTCTTTTGTGTAATGGGTTTTGGTTTATATTATGGGGTTTTCCTTGAATATTTGTTTTCCTCAAGTGCAGGTGTTGGCAACTGGCATGTCTCTCGAGAGATTGTCAGGAAATGCAGAGTTTTGCAGCATCAGAAGAGGCGTTGGAGTGAGGTGCACTTCTGAGAGGGACTTGGGAATGTCAGCTTTGATTGGTGATGTATCCGAATGCGTGGATGAATCTTCCCATAAGCTCAGTAAGACCCCAGTATTCTTTTCTTCATTTAGATACCATGTTCTTACTTTATGCATGCCGGTTTAAATCTTTAATTTTCGATGCGCTTTGGATTGATTTTCCCAGATGGGTTCCTTTTAATTAATTGCAAATTGGATTTGGACGCCTTTCATTACAGATTTGAGTACAAAAATGCCGAGTGTTTCGACAATTCTGACAAATTTTGGCAATTCCTTCGACCCATATGATGCTCTCAGTACACCTTTGTATCAGACAGCTACTTTTAATCAGGTAATGGACAACCCGATAAAGTTCAAATTTTGATGACTTGTGTTGGAATTTCTTCCTCCATTTTTCATTGTTTGGGCCTATTGAGCTACTTCTTTGTTGAATTTCTATCTCATCTTCTGCATTTCCATATCTGACCTTTTTTGAGCTCATTTTTTATCCCACAAGTGTTTTTGAACTTGTTTTTTATCCTGCAATTTATGTATTCCTCTTGAAACATTGTATCCAATGGAAACTTGGCCTTTCATGTTGACTGTTATTCGACATATCAGAAGGCAGAGGAAAGTAAAGGGTCCTGTTACCTTTTTTTCATTTACATATGAATTTGGTTTAGGTGGTGTCTTTTTAGAAACATATTCTTAGAGGTGTGTTCATTTGAAGTTTGTTTGCTATCTCTATAACCATGATAAGATATATTTCTCAAACTGGTCATGGTATCTAGTCTCTAAAGGTGATTGTCTGACGGGACATTGTGTGCGAGAATAGTGGTGTAGCTATCTTGCTTGTCCTTTTTCATTTCTCTTTTTCTTTTTTATAGATTATCCTAGATGGGTCTTCTTTATTGGCTCCAATTAATCTCCTCATCTTTTTCTTTCTTGTTTTTTAATACACTACTGTATTGTGGTACAGCCTTCCGCTGTGGAGAATGGCCCATATGACTATACCAGAAGTGGGAATCCTACAAGGGACACACTAGAGAGGTTAGTATAAACTCAATTGTAGTGAGTGACAGTATGTTAACATGTATAACTTGCTCAGTTTGCAAGTTTTGTCATAATCTTATTCTTTGTCCTGATGTCAGCAAACTTGTTGATATCATAGTATGACACACCATGCAAAAGCTTACAATTTGCCAAGCCATGTACATGTTTAGCATTTTTTCAGAAAGCATTAAGCATAGACATCTGTGTACTTGCAAATCATCAGGCTCATAGCCAAGTTGGAGAAGGCAGATCGTGCTTTTTGCTTCACTAGTGGAATGGCTGCTTTGGCTACTGTCACTCATCTTGTTGAATCTGGTAACTTGTTCTCAAATAAAGTTTTATATTCAAACATCTATCATCTGTCAAGAACTATGAATATTAATTGAAAATTCCAATTTCAGGTCAAGAAATCGTTGCAGGCGATGATATGTATGGAGGTTCTGATCGGTTACTCTCAAAAGTTGTTCCTAAAAGCGGAATCACAGTGAAGTTAGTTTTGCTCCCATTTGCTTTTTCCGTGAATGGAATTATTTGATCATTGGAGTTAATAAATGGGTGGATACAATATTTCAGGCGAGTAGATATGACTGACTTGAGTGTGGTTGCTTCTGCAATTGGCCGATCAACAAAACTTGTGTGGTTGGAAACTCCAACGAATCCTCTTCAAAGAATTTGTGATATGAGAGTAAGACATGCATATACTATACTTCCACCATGAACTTCTTTGATTCATCATTCACAACTGTTCTAGAATAGATAAAAGAGATATATCAACTGTCTATCAAATAAATTGTTGTAGAAGACATAAAAGAGCGGTATATCAAATAAATGAAACATTGATGTGCTAATGGATTTTGTTCGAACAATGAGTCACTTGGCAGCAACTATGTGACATATTCAATGGAACTCTGCATAACTGGAGTATGACGTAGCCTTGAATTGGGAAGAGATAAAAGAAAACAAAATGTTATCAAAGTGATAATGGTAGTGTGCACTAGATGACATTCATGGAAACATGTTTTGCTTGGAATTATGTTTGTTAACTCTACTTGATCGTGAAACACCCATTCATTGAAGTAAGTGAAGTACAGTGACACTTTTGGTTCCAATTAATTTTATATGCTATACAGATATGGCAAGGACACACCCGGTTACTTGGTGACAATTTTTTTCTCAATAGGATGGTCTAGATCATGTTCCTAACAATGTCGCCAAGTAACTTGAATGGGTAATATTTCTGGTTGAGAAGTCTACTTTGTTTTTTCTGTGTTCAGTAGGGTAGGGAAAGTACAATGTTACCCTCATTACCACAGGAAACCAGTGGTTGCGAGGGTCATCACCTTCCAATCAATGGATTGGATAGTGATGAATATGTGGTGGGACCATCCAGAACTACTTTACAGGTTGCTTCTATTTTCACATGAATACCATTCAACCCATTGATTAGATGGTGATTATACTCATGACAGCAGATTTCCTGTCATCATGAGGGTTATGGAATGCCTTCTCCCTTCACTTTCATACTTCATTCTCTTGTTGAATGCTTATGTATATACCTTTACATAGTTGCATGTTCTTTCTTTTCCTTCTTTGCTTTTACTTCTTTAAATCCTCGATGCGGACTTTTTTCAGGCCTTTTCACTCTACTACGTGAAAGAATTTTGCTTGGGACTTTTAGCACTCTTGAAACGAATAAATTTTGGGTTGTTGAATAGCAATATTGCTTCACTCCACCGCATGAAACGATATTGCTAGGGACATTTAGCACTATTGCATGAAACAAATAAATTTTTGCATTGAACATTTAAAACAAAAAAATTGATAAAAAAAAAAACCACTGGAAAAAAAAAACAAAAAGAAAACCAATAGAAACAGCATGTGTGGTGAGAAAGCACAAATCGAAGATCATAGCTTTTTCCCTGATTGCCATTTTGGTTTGGTAAAAACATGGCAGTTCATTTGTGAGGGTCATAATTTTTTTTTTCTCTATCAACCCAAAGAGTCCAAAACTATTGTAAGATTATTATTATTTTTCACTATAAAAATTTGAGGTATAGAGATCCGTTTTATTTCAATGAATTAGATTTTAAATCTTATTTTGACCATAACATAGATGTTATGGACAACAAACACTTAGGCATGATACAGTTTCTCAGTATATAAGTAGTTTTAGTAAAATTATAAAAAATTATAATGCAATACCAGTATTTTTTTGAAAACCTAAAAGCTAATTTTTTTAAGAAATTCTAGTATTTTTTGATTTTTTTTTTATTGTCGGATCTTACTAATACGGCTGATTCTCCAATCCGGATCGTCGATCTGACACGATTTTTGGGGTAGCTAATCCAGGTCACCGATCCATTTTTTTAAAACCTTGATATTATACGTCTCTTTCTATTTTTCTAGATAGGCTTACTTTGACAACTGCATATATTAGAAATCAGACATGTTTCTGTTCTACCTTACACAAAATATGACAAACAATCTTTATTGAACTCTGCATGCAGATTAACACTATAAAACAGTTCCCAGGAGATTTACCAAATTCTAAGACATCATGGTTGGGTGGCAAATGTTAGCATTAATGAAATAATCCTTATAAGTGGAAAAATCTAATTGATTTATAGGGTACTGAAACATAAAGGCAGCATTAGAGACTTTAGCCAGTAGCCACATGAACCTTGAGCCTCAGAAGATAACAAATAAATCAAAGGAACCTTTAGAAATTATAATCTGCCAAAGAAAATTTTGAATTTAGGTAGTCTTCTTGCGACCAAAAAATTAACAATCCCTGTCTAAAGGAAAAACCATCTCTTCATCCACTTCTGCTTCCTTACCCCCAACATTTTGAAACTCAGGTTATGGTGTACTAATGCAGGTAAACCTTGGTGGCAAGATCTCTCTTTGTTTTCCTTTATGAAAAGGCAGTCTTTAAGGCTTTATTGGAAATGTAGTTGAAACTTGTTTGGCTCTTGATTGGGATGAACAGATGATATCTTCCTTTGGGACTGAATCACATTGACAAATGCTCGTGGTACCCAATATCGTATTTTGTCTACTAGTAGCTTGACATGTTGCTAAGGAAATTTGTATACGGCCGTTGGACATTGTAATGAGATGTCATCTTGAGAGCATTTAGTAGCTGAAAACTATCAGAGTCTAGGGCCAAAGGATATTTGGGCATCAAACAAGGATTTGATGTAATGGTTGTCATGGCCTATGAAGGAAGACTAGATTTGAAATCTTTGTTGCATATGGAGGGTAGGGGGCAATTAGGGCAAGTTTGGTGACATGGTATGGAAATTCAATGATGAGTCTAGAAATTTGGGAATTTGGAAACATGGGAATCTTGAAACCTGATTATTGGAATATATAGTTTGATAACATGCCTTGATTACCTGGTGAATTTAGTTTCTGTTGTTTGGTTTAGTCTGTAGGAAACCTAGGAATCTGGAAATTAGCCTGTTTTACATCAAATTTTCATTGAATGGTTGTTTGATTAGATATATATTTGTCCAATGGAGATTTTCTTGTTATAGTCCATCCATATTATGACAATCATAAATACAACACTCATGGACGGCTCAAATAAAAAGTTATTGATTTGTTATTGATAAATTTTTTCAATTGATTAGGACCTTGGATTTGAACAAGATATAGATAATAAATTTGTTACATGTAATTTTTGGGTTAACTACTTGACCATTTTCTTAGTCACTTTAACAAACTTGTGTATACACATTTTGTTTCCCTTGCCTCTTCTAGTGAGTTGTGCAATATGTGAGGCAAGAACTAGTGAACCACATAAACTAATGCATTCCTTAATGTAGAACACGACCAAAGCAAGAACTCATAATTTTTGAAGTTTTGTACACCATCGCAAGCAATTTTTAAACCATTACAAGCAAATATTTTTTAAGGAAATCCAAAGCAATCATCCAAAGATCCCTGTCAACAATTGCAATAAAGAGAAGATATGGAAAGTACGTTACATGATGCAACAACATCTGCATGTTGTTTTAATTTCTGATATGTGAAAGTAGGACTATGTGACTCGGGCAAGTATAAACCGACAAAAAAAATTCTTTCTTTTCCTATATTTTAACATCAGATCACTTATAATAGTCCAAATACAATATATGAACCAATAAAAACACAAAGTATGGCAAGGACTCTCACTTGCTTGTTGTCAAAACAAATTCTCATTCAAGATATAAATTTGAAAATTACATGACACTTTGATTGAATTCAAGAAAACATGAAATAAAACAATACCGCATCCTTGCCTCAGGCTAGCCCCAAGGACTTCGTACACCCTACTCAGGGTCTCCTCCACCAATGGCACATGGGATCTCGGTTTAACCTCGTCTCGTAAATTGGGAAGCGTAGGCAAAATTTCTTGAGAGCATGACATGGGATAGGGCTTTGACCAAGGCTCAACACAAGTTCGAAACTCAAAGCACATAGGCTTGGGGCGTGCCACCTTTGTGGGTTGGGCATGCCACCTTTGTGGGTTAGGCGTGCCCCTTAGAGTTTGTAGCTTCCACAAAAATAAAACCCTAACTAAATGAGAGAGAAATAGAGAGAGAGAATGGGGCGTACCTACCTCTAGGGCTTAGAGAGAGACCAATCCAATTAACGTGTATAGAGAATATATAAAATAGAGTATTTATAGAATAGAGGTTAGGGTTTTGTGGTTTAGGGTTTTGCCATCATTATGAAACTCAATAATGACCTTTAATCATGAAGACCTGTGGGTTGAAGAGATTTCAGTCATTCATTTGTTAGATCAGCCATCGTGATTAAAAGGAATGAGGCGGAACCATTATCCCTCAATCTACATAGCTCTATTCCCATCAAATAATTGTGTAGAGAAAATACTATGTTTTTGCAAATCTAATTTTTGCTTGCTTATTTGAGAACAATCAAATCCATCTCATAACACTTTCCTTTGATTTAAAACAAGTGGATGGATTTCATTACAAGCCACACCAAAATAGGAAAGAGGAGGGAGTGGAGCATCCCACACATGGAGGGCCTTGTGGGCTCCACGCCCCAAATTGTGGGCTTATATGTGGTGGGTCGAAAAATCCCAAGGGGCCCCCACACCCTAAATAATATTTTAGAGTAATAAAAGAAATTTCATAAAAACACTAAATATATTATTTTATCTCTGAATGGAATAAATCAAGAAAATTGATTTTTTCTTATTTAAGACTCTTTTTCAATAAAATAAAATATCTAGAGAGGTTTAAAAATTATTTTTAATTATTCTAAAGTATAACTAAAATATAATTAAACATATTAAAAATTTTTGGATGGGAATTGGATCCAAAGGGTTAGGAATATAACAAAATATATTGAGGACTTTATCCATTATAGAAACTGTATCTTCTCAGACTGACCTAATAGTTCCTATGACCCACGATCCTTCGCTGGTGTTCATGATTGAAATATCAAAGTTAATTAATAAATGAAGCAGATACGATCCTAGCTCATGAATTACAGGTTCCTCCTTGAGGACAAGCTAGGCCTCATTCTAGCATGATACCACATGGGTCTTTTCAACACAATCCAATGTTGTAGGAGTCATCTCTTCGGCACATATACACAACACACACCCTCATCTAGAGGGCTGCTTCCCAGATGGTTATCTAGTGTGCATGTCGTGCGATGGTAATGATG